AAGCATTGCCTGAGGCATGTTCGGTTGGCCTTTGTGGTCAACAGATTAGCCGCGTGGTCGTGCCCGCAATTGGGTCAATTTTTCGATATGATTGTTCTATCATATGGGGGGCGACTCGTGGTCGTGCTCAGTGCCCTTATCCGAGTCAAGGCGTTTGATCAATCCAATTGGATTCCATCGATCGGTGTTTGGGGCCAAATGGACGAACAATCCAGCACACACGTACTGGCTCAGGGTGTCCGATCGGGTACAGAGTGAAGGTCTATTGAAAGTCCATTCGCTCGGTCCGCATGGCCGAATGGGTGATTGAATGAGTCTGAAGCTGTGCTTAGCCAGTGCTGCCAGCCGAGTGGGTTACATTAGTCTCTGCTTGGTTACGACGCTTTTGGGATTGGTCGAGTCCGAGCCAGCCATTTAGTGTAGTTGCTCGTTCGGTTGGGGTGACCGAGTGGTGAAGCTTACGCTTAGTTGAGGTGTTTTGGTGTGCTCCTAGGTAACTAAGGCGGGGTGGCTAGGTACAGTGATGTCAATCCCACTCGGTAGGGCAACCCGAACGAATGGTTGCACCCTAGGGATCAAGTGTGGCTGGCTTGAACATATTTTGACACGTGTACGACTGGGATACCCTCTAAACTTGGGCGGGAAAATTAAAAACTCTCGACTTTCGATGTCCATTCATGTGGTGACACGTGTCACCTGACAGCTTTTACTGATAAAATGTCTAGGTTTGCGACTGTTCGTTTCATCGGTCATTTTTCTCTCCTCTTCGCATTTTCCTTTTTCTCTGGAACCTAGGTTTTTGTCCCTGCTTCGAAGGATATTTCAAGATTAGGCCATTTTCACGGTAAAAATTCCTCCACCTTTGCTTTTTCTGTTTTCTTCATGTTTGTGCACTGTTTTTTGGGAGGTTGAGTGGTGTTTTGGGAAGATTTGGGCTTGTTTTTAGGGTAGTTTGATGCTGATTTAGGAGGCAAACAAGAAGGTTTTTTCTTTCGTTTTGGTGTAGACCTACTAGGCTTTGGTTAGATTTAGGGCGATTTGAGTTTCCGATGGGGCGATTTTATGGCTTAATTTGGTTTTTCTGGAACATTTGGGAGTGATTTGAGCGAAGGTGGCTGGATTTTGGAGCTTTGGAGTTTTCTTTAGGGTTTTGGAAAACGAAGGAAGACGAAAATGAGTTTTGGGGGATCTCGGCTTGGCTCGTCTCGGTTTTCCCGACTGAGTCAAGTAGGTAAGGTTTAGTTTACAATAGTTAAAAATTAGGAGATGCAGGTCGCTCGATTGTACCGACCTAGTGGTTGGGCAATTATAGGGAGAGCAAGGCTCATTAAATGCTCGATCGTTCAGGACGAGCGAGTTGATACACGACTGTCATATTTTCCTAGAGCAGCTAGTAGTTTAGGGTGAGTGAAACTGTGCAAAAAGTGAGGCTCTGAATTAGAGTCGGTCGGTTGGGGCAAGCGTGTGCTAGTTAGAGCTGAATCTAGGACCAGGTCGGTCAGTTGCGAGGATCGAACAAGATTCTAACTTGGGTTGCGAAAGTTGAGGCAAGGTGCGTTTACGGGGATAGGCTGATCAGGGCCGAAGGACGTGTGGTAGGTTAAAAGGGGCTCTTACGGTGTTGCTCGGTCGGTGGTATAGGGTAAGTAGTGGTGTGACACTTAGGATTTTGGATTTTGGTTTGTGGGATTAAATCGGTCGGTTGGGTAGGACGAATAGGTTGACATGTCAGATTCAGAGTCGAGTAGCTCGAGTGGGGCTAGGGCAGATGTTGGGAATGAGTAAGAACGTGCCCTTACCATAGTGATAATGCTCGAGGGGGGGCGTTCCGATTGGTGTACTGATCGGTGTTAGTGTAGCTGCCCCAGGGACGAGTATTGCTGGTCCGAGTGTTTCGGTCGGGCATGAGGGAAGTGGGGAAGACTCCGAAGAAGCTGGTAGTTCATCCTCGTCCAGTAGTAGCTTTGAGGAAGAGCCGAGTCAACAGGGCAGTGGGATTTTGAGTAGGGATTATCCGCCCATGCTTAAGGATAGCGACGTGTGGTGGATCCGAACTATGTATCACATTTCGGGTTTGGTTGAGATTCGAGTGCCATGGTCATACGAGCGGGTTGATTGGGAGGCAAAAGGCTGCGTGAGTATTTATGAGAAGTGGTTTCACGACGGGCTGAGGTTGCCTATTCCTCGCCTCGTCTGGGAGGTGCTGAACCACTTCATCATTGCCCCATCATAGATCATGCCGAACGGTTGGAGGTTGCTTATGGCTCTGGAGGACCTCTGTGTGCAGAACCAAGTGATGTTTGGGCTGCACAAGCTGCCGTACTCGTATTTTTTGAAGGAAAACTAAAAGAAGGGTCAATATCTGATCAACCTCAGGCATGATCGGTCTCATCTGGTGACCGACCTCGTATTGGTGAGTCGTATTGGTGGAGACCAACCTCAGGACCAGCCATTTTTGGGCCGGAGTAGAGGCGATTCAGCGAGGTACTCCCTTCCATTCGTTGAAGCAGACTTAGGATGTGCTTCTGACTCAGTACTACAATTATACCACTTATGGTGAGTCCAGGCTGAACCCACTAACCGCTGGAGAGTTTGCGCTTGCAGAGAGATTGATGAAGAAGCTGACAGTCCCCAGTACGAGCCAGTCCATCGCCCGACGTTAGGAAAAGAGGAAGAGGGAATCCTCAGCCAGAGAGGACATAAGAGCGGAGGATGTGGTGGCGACACCGTCGAGCCGTCAGCCCGCTGCCGGAACCGGGTCATCCCAGATAGCAATCTTGGATTAAAAGACTGAGATGTTCACCTTCCATATTCCGGCTTCCGTGTTGACCTACTTTGACGCAGCTTCTATGAGCAAATTGGCTGACTCCTTCCTGTTCCTGGCAGACGAGACCCGTTTGAACCAGATGGGGGTAGTCGCGGCCGCTGACTGGGGGGGTATCCCGTGTTTTTCAGGTAGGGCAGGAGTTTTATTTTATTTTGTTTATCACGGTTTGTACTGATGACAATGTTTTGTTGTACAGGCATTTACGGGCAGTTTGCATCTGAGGAAGTCCGTAGTGGCGCAGGAGAAGAGGATACAGGATGTGTCCAAGGCGAACACCAGTTTGCGCCAAAGGGAGGCGACAGCCCAGAAGGCCGAGCAGGAAAGCCAGCAACGTCTGAAGACGGCCGAGGGTGAGTTGGAGAGGCTGAGAAGAGAGTTAACCGAGAAGACTACAGAGGTTGAGTCCCTCAAGGAGCAGTGCCTCACCATTGCTGAAGATGCCATTATTAGGGCCCGGAGGGAGCTCATGCTCGAGTATAAGGTCGGGAACACTTCCCACTGGAATCTGGATGAGGACATCCAACTCATGTAGGAGATGCTAGAAGAGGGGGCTAAGCATACGGAGGAGCAGATTGATGAACTGGTGCTCGATTTTGCTAGTCGGTCAGGACCATCGGTTACTAGGGATGTGAACGACCAGGCTGCAGGGACGGGTACTGGTGCTGGCGATGGGGTGACCGAGCGGAGATAGGAAAGATGACTCGCATCAATGACACTTAGCTTTATTTCTGCTTTGCTCATGTATTTTGGGGCTTGCGATGCCCTTTCTTAGCGTGTGTGCCCTTTATTGTATTTCTGAACTAAGCTGCTTGAGGTTGTTTAGATGTTAATACTTTTTGTTCTGTTTTTGATGCTTTCCTGATGGGTGAATGAGTTGTTGATTGCTTCTTTGTTCGTAGATGCACTAGGGGTTGAACTCTTATGCTTGTGTTGTGATTTTGGTACGGCCTAGTGGCTAAGTCATGTAGACTCTCTGCTAGGCAAGGTCGATGACTTGTCGATTTTGAGGTGTAAGAACCCTTCACTCGGTCTGGCCGATTGAGTATGTAGCTTCATGAACCGGGCAGGGCCGATCGAAGGTGTAAATCTATGGATCGACCAGGGTCGATCTGAAGGTGTAAATCCATGGATCAGCAGGGCCGATCCGATGGTGTAAATCCGTGGATCGACAGGGCCAATCTGGAGGTGTAGATCCATGGATTGAGCAGGGTCAATCCAAAGGTGTAAATCCGTGGATCGGGCAGGGCTGATCCGAAGGTGTAGATCCATGGATTGAGCAGGGTCAATCCAAAGGTGTAAATCCATGGATCGAGCAAGGTCAATCCAAATGTGTAAATCCGTGGATCGGACAGGGCTTATCTGAAGGTATAGATCCGTGGATTAAGTAGGGTCGATCCGAAGGTGTAAATCCGTGGATCAAGCAGGGTCGATCTGAAGGTGTAAATCCATGGATCGAGCAGGGTCGATCCGAAGGTATAAATCCGTGGATCGAGCAGGGCTGATCTGAAGGTGTAGATCCGTGGATTGAGCAGGGTCAATCCGAAGGTGTCAATCCGTGGATCAGGCAGGGTCGATCCGAAGGTGTAGATTCGTGGATCAGGCAGGGCCGATCTGAAGGTGTAGATCCGTGGATTGAGCAGGGTCGATCCAAAGGTATAATTTCGTGGATCAAGCAAGGTCGATCCGAAGGTGTAATTCTGTGGATCGAGCAGGGTCGATCTGAAGGTGTAAATTTTTTGAATAATACTTCATTAACTTTGGGCCATGAGGCCGACTGTCTATAAGGAGGTGGATAGACCCACTCATCCCTTTCAAATAAAAATAAAAGAAAAACAAACAAATAGAACAAGTTCACCTAAAAATAGTAGCGTTTGAGGTGGACGGCATTCCAGCTGTTGCTGATGTCTTTACCTTTGGGGGTCTGGAGTCGGTAAGCGCCTTTCCCTACTTCTTTGGTGATCTTGTAAGGACCTTCCCAGGTGGGGCCGAGCTTGCTAGAGTTGATCTCCTTGGTGTTTTGGAAGACCTTACAGAGGACCCAGTTGCCTATTTTGAAAGTTTGGATCCTCACTTTGCGGTTATAGTGCTGGACGGCCTACTACTGGTAGACAGCATTACGGATGCTTGCTTGCTCGCGTAGCTCATCGATAGTGTCTAAGTTCTGGCAAAGGTTCTAGCTGTTGGTTTCCTCGTCTGCCCATTGGAGCCTAGTGGACGGAACTGATACTTCGGCCAGGATGACCGCTTTAGAATCGTATGTGAGGGAGAATGGGGTCTCGCCTGTTAACGAGTGAGCTATAGTTCGGTAGGACCAAAGGACTCCGGGTAGCTTATCTGCCCATGCACCCTTTGCTTTCTGCAATCGCTTTTTTAAGGTCTGTATGATGGTTTTATTTGATGACTCGGCCTGGCCGTTGGACTGGGGGTTGCAGGGGGTGGAGAAGCTAAGCTTGATCCCCCACATGTCGCAGAAACTGAAGCCTGAACTGATAAATTGGGATCTATTGTCGGTGACGATTTCCTTCGGTATCTCGAACCTGCAAATGACATGTTTCCAGATAAAAGCTTTTACCTCTCGGTCTCTGACTTGTGCGAAGGCTTCGGCTTCAATCCACTTAGTGAAGTAATATGTCACAACCAATAGGAAAACTCGTTGCCCGGGTGCGGTCAGTAGCTTTCCCACTATATATATTTCCCACTTCATAAAGGGCCAAGGTGTGAGGATGGAGTGGAGTCGTTCAGGTGGGAGGTGTGAGACATGAGCGAACCTTTGACAACTGTTGCACTTCTTAACATAAGCAGTCGAAGCAGTGCGTATAGTTGGCCAGTAGTACCCAGCAGTGATCACTCGGTGAGCCAGGCTGCGTCCCCCTGCATGGTTTCTACATTCGCCTTCATGGAGTCCGACGAGAACACGTTTGGCCTCTTTGGGGTCTGTGCACTTTAGGTAGGGACCAGAGAATGATTTCTTAAGGAGTTGGCCTTTATATATGGTGAACCTGGCGGCTCTTGCTCTCAAGCGGCGTGTTTCGTTTTTGTCAGCTGGGAGCTCGTTGTGTTCCAAATACTTCACTATCGGGGTCATCCAGCAGTCAGCTAGCTCAATGTCCATTGCTTCCTCGGGCGACTTGTTTGCTAGTTGTTCCTTCCAGTTGGCTGGCCATTGCAGGAATAACAGAGGGATGGACGATTGGGAAGAACATTGAAGCGCTGAGCTGAGGTTAGCAAGGGCGTCAGCGTGAGAGTTCTCCGCTCTTGGGACTTAGGCGATGGAGAATTCTTCGAATTGGGCTTGCAGTTCTTTGACTAGTTTCAAGTAGGCTGTCATCTTCGAGTCGCGTGCTTGGTAAGTGCCTTGCAACTGGTTGACCACAAGCTGGGAGTCGGACTTCACCTCCAGTCTCCTTGCTCCGATTTCTTTGGCCAGGGAGAGTCCAGCGATGAGAGCCTCGTTGTTCGTGCACTTGAACCCACATCGTATTTCCTGCTGGATGACATCTCCCTCTAGTGTAGTCAGTACGAGCCCGAGCCCGCTCCCATTCACATTGCTTGAGCCATCCACTGAGAGAGTCCACTTAGAAGGTGACCCACTGTTCATGCATAATAACTCTCTTTCTGCTTGGACAGTGGTGTACGGGGTGAAATCCACGATGAAGTTTGCCAATGCTTGGGACTTGAAGGCAGTACAAGGCTGGTATGATATGTCGAACTCACTAAGCTCTACTGTCCATTGCGTGAGTCGGCCTGATAGCTCCGGTTTGTGCAGTATCTTCTTGAGTAGGAAGGAGGTGAGCACGACTGTGGAGTGGCATTGAAAGTACGACCTGAGCTTCCTGGATGCATGGATGAGTGCAAGGGCCAGTTTCTCCAGCTAACTGTACCGTGTTTCTACGTCGAGGAGTGACTTGCTTATATAGTAGACCGGTAACTGCTTCGCATCCTCTTGCCAAACTAACACTGCTGAGATTGTTGTCTTTGAGACAACCAGATAGGTGTAAAGCTTCTCCCGTCTACAGGCTTGGAAAGGAGCGGAGGGGAGGTCAGGTACCTTTTCAACTGTTGCAAAGCTTCCTCGCAAGAGGGGGTCTACTCGAACTTGTTGGACTTCTTGAGTGCATGGAAGAAAAGGTGACACTTGTCGACGGATCTGGAGATGAAACGACTCAAAGCGACTACTCGTCCTGCAAGGTGCCAGACGTCTTTTATGCAAGTTAGGGATGGTATACTGAGGATCGCTCTGATTTGGTCAAGGTTGGCTTCTATCCTTTGCTGAATTACCATGTAGCCCAAGAATTTACCTAACGAGACACCGAATGAGCATTTGGTCAGATTCAACTTCATGTTCTACTTCCTTAGGATGGCAAACGCCTGGCTGAGGTGGTCAAGGTGCTGTTCGGCTATCAGGGACTTAATGAGCATGTCGTCGATGTAAACCTCTATAGTGTCCCCAAGGTGTTCGGCAAACATCCTGTTGACTAGCTGCTGAGAGGTAGCCCCGCCGTTCTTCAGATAGAATGGCATCACCTTGTAGCAATAGGTTCCCCTCTCTGTGATGAAGGCTGTCTTCTCTTGGTCATCCGGGTGTATCAAGATTTGGTTGTAACCTGAGAAAGCGTCCATGAAACTAAAGAGCTCGTGGCCTGCGGTCGCATCAACCATCATGTCGATATGTAGGAGTGGGAAAGAATCCTTAGGGCACGCTTTGTTTAAGACCATGAAGTCGATGCAGACTCTCCACTTTCCGTTCTTTTTCTTTACAACCATGACGTTTGCCAGCCATTCGGGGTAGTGGACCTCTTTGATCATACCGTTGCTCAGTAGCTTTTCAACCTCTTCATTAACGATCCGGTTGCGCTCTGGTGCGAATTTTCTTCTCCTCTACTTCACTGGCTGGTGATTCGGATCTACATTAAGGTGGTGGACCATTGCCTCTGGACTGAATCCTATCATGTCGGTGTGGGACCAAGCGAAACAGTCTTGATTCTATTTGAGGAATTCTATCAGCTTCTCTTCTGTCTCGGGCCTAAGGCGGGAACCTATATGTGTCTTTCTCTTGCGGTCGTCTAGATGTATCTGTATTTCATCCAACTCTTCCATAGATGGTTGATCTGGCTCGTTTAGAGGGGTTGGATTGGGACTGTAATTGCTATGAAGCGTTACCCTAGCCCTTGAAGACGTTCTTGTAATAATCTTTGGAAGCTTTCGGGTCGCCCTTGATTTCTTGTACTCCCCATTTGGTAGGAAACCTGATCGTTTGGTGGAAAGTGGATGGGGCCGCTCGCATGTCGTGGATCCAAGGTCGACCCAAGATGACATTGTAGGGTGAAGGATAGTCGATCACTAGAAAGACGGTCTGTTTGTTTACTCTGCTAGCGTAGATAGGAAGAACGATTTCTCCGATGGTGTACTTTTGCTCAGAATTGAAACCAACTAGTAGGGTCAGCCTTCTGTTGATGTTTTCTTCTTCCAGACCCATAGCCTTCACTGCTGCACGGAAAAGAATGTTCGCTGATGACCCCCCGTCTATGAATACCCTCTTGACTAGGATGTTGGTGATCTGGAGGGAGACGGTCAGAGCATCGTGATGAGGAACGACCAGGGTGACCGGCTCATCATCCTCAAACTAAATTACCTGATGGGAATGTGGCCGAGGAGCCGAATGGATGGACTGGATCTCATGGTGGCTGTTGGCTTTGGCATAGCGTTTGGTTGAGGAGTAACTGACTCCGCTGATTTCTGACCCTCCGGAGATTAGTGAACGAAATCCTTTCGGTGTGGGCTCTCGTGGGGGTGGAGATGTTTCTTTGGTGCTTTTCTGGCTGATGGTGAGTTTCTCTTTATTTGTCAGTAGATCTCGGAGGTGTCCCTTTTTCAATAATGCGACGACCTCCAAACGCAGGGCAATACAAGCCGGGGTGTTATGTCCATGATCGCCGTGAAACTCGTACCACTTGGTCGTGTCTCTCCTTGCTTCGACATTGAGCTTGTCTGGCCACTTAACACTAGATCCCATTCCTTTCATGATCGCCACCACTTGGGCTGGTTCGACGTTGAGGTTGTATTCTAGTATTTTGTATCGGCTCGGTCCAACCTGTCTGTTGTCAGTTCTAGGTGGCTGGCGGTCATATTGTGGCTAGCAGTCATATGGTATTCTTACTCTGTTCTGGTTACGAGGAGGGGGCTGGTGACGAGGTTCAATTGATCTAAATTCTGGCCTTCTATCATTCCGCCTTGGGTCATACCTGGCGTGTACTGCCCGATTCATCTCATCTTCTGCCCACCTTATCTGAATCACTGCTCTGCCCAAGGCGTCCTCCATCATGGTATAGCCAAGCTTCGTCAGCTCTTTGTATAACTCTCCATCCGGGAGGAGACCCTTCCTGAAGGCATCTACGGTTGTTTTGGGGTTACAAGAAGGGATGTAAATTTTCTCTTTGTTGAATATGCTGACATACTCTCTTAGTGGCTCCCCGGCCCCCTTCTTTGGTATACTCTATATAGGTCAGCCGATAGTTTCTTGAGTTTTTTGCTATCGGCGAATTGCTCCACGAAGGTGTCGGTGAGCTGTGCGAATGAGTTGATGGAACCGTTCGGGAGATTTGTGTACCACTAAAGTGCTAGACCAGATAAGCTTGAACCAAAACTCTTACACATGCAGGCTTCCCTCAGCGCTTGGGGTATCGAAACAGTGAACATTCGCTGCTTGTACGAGGCTATGTGATCATCTGGGTCAGTTGTGCCATCATAAGGTTTCATGCCAGGGATAATAAATTTGTGGGGCATGTCGGCTAAGGTGATCGCATTTACAAAAGGTGAATCAGCGTAGCAGTGGGGTCTGCTCTTCTTGGTGGGGATCAGCATCCCTGGTATACGCCTGTAATACCCAAGATATCAAAGGTATGTTCCTAACTCAAAATAGTCCTTTAGATGTTAATTTTATGTTAAAAAGCATAAAATCTAACTAAGGGCAAAATAGTCAATTCATTTGGAATGGTATGAATCAATTATCCACAAAGAGGCTTAGGGGCAAAATGGTTATTTTGCCTATGGATAAGCATTGAAAAAGTCAAGGATGAGTAGGCTTCATTGCATTTAATGGCATTAATTAAGTAATAATTATGTCTAGTGTGAAATGACCAAAATGCCCTTATATGAAGAATTAAGGACTTATGAGTTATACAATTAAAATAATTGGGCCAATTGCATAATTTTGGAAAATAAATGAAATATTTTCCTATAAATGAGATGAAATTCGTTCAAGCCAAAGGAGAGAGCCTTTCTTCAACATTTCTTCCATTTTCTCTCAAATCTTCCATGAAACAAGCTTTCTTTCTCTAGGTTTTCAAGGAGTTTTGCATAATTTTTCAAGGAGAACAAGATAGGAGCCTTGGATCTTCAATTTGAAGGGTTTAAGGTAAGGATTAAAAACTTTAGTTTTGATGTGATTTGAAGATTTGAGGTAGATGTTGAGGTATAATGTTATATATGTAGGATTAAGGTGTAAAAGAAGTCAAAGGCAAAGGATTTGTTGGAGGAAGTCTTTAAAAAGGTAAGGAAGAACCTCCCATGACTTTAGGGTTTATGCTAGGGTTTGTAGATTTTTATGAAACCTTAAATTAAGGCTTTAAGGCATAGAATTAGTTGATGGCAAGTGTAGTTGAACTCATTTATTCTACTTATTGCCTTGAATTCATTATACATGAAGTTATTGCTCTTTATGTTTTATGAGTTGTTATGTTTGATTGAAGAAAATGAAGTGTGGATACTGATTGTGGCAAAAATTGTAGTATTGGAGGCCACATGGTGTTGAATGGTTGCTATTAGAAGTGTTGATGTGTTGTTTGCATTAGCTTACAATGTTATAGCAATAATGGATGATTATGGAAATGAGATTTTACACTTCCTTTAAGATGTTAAAGACTATTAAGGGGAGGTTTATTTGATCTATAAGTGTAACCTATTGGGTAATGTCAATAGGAATGATGTGGCATAGTTATATGAAATTCGGATTGGTGGCTTAGGGTTTTGTTAACCCTGCCTCAGTATTTCGACCTAACTTGAGTTATAAATATCAAAATGAGATGATTCTTGAAGCATTAGAACTAAGACACA